TTTCAGAACCCCGACCTGAGCGATGAACCCTCCACCAACACCACCAGTACGTTTTGGAGTACCAGTGCATACGGAGTATGAGGTAGCTGAGTTTCCGATGGGTGACGGGATGACCTGGATAAGACACACGACGACCGTGTTTGTAGAAGTGGGAAAGCTTGCCTTGGATGAGAACCATTTTTGAGGTTGAACGTTAGGTCATCGACTTCTTTTTGATTTTGGTAGTTTCAGTAAAGTGTGCACTGGTAGACAGAGGTTTGTTTTATTGTATATATGGTGGAACAAGTTGAACAAGAAATGGAAATGTATATTCTCCCAATTCTCCGCAGTTTAAGTTTGTCCGGGTGTTTTATGGTTTTTGTTTGCGCGATTAAATCTCTGATGTTTAGTTGAGGTCGGCGATAACCTGGGACGTCGCAACTGTTCGACCGGAGGCGGGATGTCGCGGGTTCGACGGGGTTCGGGGCGTGACATTTTGGGCCATATCATTCCATGTAGTGATAGATCCTGCAGGAAGAGAAGAGAGCCACCTTTTAGCTTTATCTCTAAGAGAGAATGGAAATAATCTCAATCTAACAGCATCATTTGAAACTCCATTATATTTAATTGTGTCACAAATTTCAAGAAAAGCATCGATGTGAGCGTTTGGATCATCGCTTGATAGCCCACTAAATTGCGCTGATTGTTGAAGTATCTGAATCAGTGATGGCTTGATCTCAAAGTTGTTTGATTGAATTGCAGGTCTCCTGATGCTTGATGTGGTGCCCTCAACTGTTGGCGCAGCATAATCTTTCAAGAGTCTATGTTGATTTCTACCATCACCAACTCCCTCCATCTTTTTAGTGTGATTTCTTTGTTCTCTCAATTGTCTTTTAAATGTACGTTCGATTTCTGGATCAAACTCAGCAAGTTTTCCTTATTGGCTACGTGTAATGCGCCGATGTATACTCTAAAAAAATAAGATAAAAGCTAGATTAAACTTAGAATTATCCGGTATCAATATTAATTGATATTAAATAAACAATCTCCAGCAACGGCGCCAAAAACTTGTTCGTAAAATTCTGCATGTGTCAACGAATGTGTTGAACAAGTAATACAATGATGAGAAGAGTATCGTCCCACAGAGATTGATGATAATAAATCAATTAAATATTAAAAATAGACTAATTCTAAAATTTATCTAACAGATCAAAATAGAATTGAGAATAAATAAAAATAACAATTTTTAAAAATGAAATTTTATAAACTAAAGGTAGATAATCAATTAGATAAAATATGTTAGAGCATCCGATTTCACCATAACCACTAGATGCGAATTTCGGATCATTATGCATACAAGAATAATATCAAACATGTGATAGCGGAATTTCCTAGTCAATTTACTATCCTATCTCTAGGTATAACAAATCTACTTAGTTGATCAATTCACTATATCTCTATGTGAATTTAAATAAACATAAGTGCATTAAAATCTGTGAATATTCCCGGTTTACAATGAATCTTTTGGACCACCTTATCATCGAAAGCTACACAAGTAACATGGTATATTTCTATCCACATTTAATTCATGGTTATATATTATAAGGAGCAATTGCATATTATCATTTCTCAGTCTCAAACATGCACATCAGATCATTCAAGTGGTGACCAGTCACCTAAACATATTAAGCACAATAATATATAACTCACATTAATGAAATTACTTGCAAAGCATAAAAAACATGAAATTCATATCGTCATGATTAGGCTACATCGTAGCTCTAACAGAGAAAATTAGAACATAATAGAAAAAGAAACGAAAATATAAATTAAACCAGACATCTTGAATCAAAGAACAAGAATTCTGTTACCACTTTTGTTTTCTCTTCAAAATACTTGAAAACTCTCAAAACACTGAAAATAAAAACAATCACCAAAAAAACTCGTTGTTCCCCCAAGTTATTCTATTTATATGATAACATCCAAGACTCTTCTCACAAGGCAATTGTTTCTTTTTCGGATAAAATTAGGGAATAAATCGCAGAATTCCCAATGTGATATCTACCTTCTAACTCTTCTCTGGGTCGTATATTCCTTTCCTTCTTTTTGCCATATTTTCCTTATTTTCTCTATATCTCAATATTCTGTATAAACAAGGAAAAATTAAGTAAATAAAAGGAAATCCAATATATTCTAACAAATATTGCATTATTTATTACCTAGAGTAGATAAAATAACTCTATTTTTATAGAGTTATCAAGCTCACATAAAGATTAAGATGTGCATATTATATAAAGCTGAATGACATATGGCAAAAGCCAAATCATGAAAAAAAAATTCTTGGAATCAAGTACCTAGGTTTAGAAATTGATCTCCAATGTTTGAAATGAGGGCTCAGACTTCAAGAAGAACTAAGTCGATCGCTTCTTCGGCAAAACAAAGAAGTTCTCGGCTTGGTGTTTTTTGGGACCCTCCGATACTGAAAATGTGTTCGAGAAGGGAAACCCATATAATATAGGGTTAATATCACAAAAATTCCAAACTGGTATACTTGCGACGAATTTATCCCAAACTAATTTTTTAACCACAAAAAATCCCAAACTAGTACACATGTGATAAATTTACCCCAAACTAATTTTTTGACTATCAAAAACCCCAAACTAGTATATTTGTAATAAATTTACCCTCCGTTAAATTGAATTAATACAACGAAAAATCATAAACTGATACACCTATGACAAATGGAGGATAAAACCCCAAACTAGTACACTCGTCAACTAGTACGTGTCATTCAACTCAAAAATTTGATAGCATAATTTAACGGAAAATAACAGAAGATAAAATTGTCACAAGTATACTAGTTTGGGGTTTTCCGTTGTATTAACCCCATAATATAAGGCTCAAATATAAAAATCGCACTTTCCTTGTAAAGAATAAATGAGATCTCTATTCATATCTGTTCCCTCAAAGAGTTAATTAACTTATAATCTCTGAAATTTTTAGCACATCCTGTTATGTAATGACAAGTGATGTGTTAGATCGTGAGTGGCCCGGTGCTTGGATGTGATTTGAGGTACCCAAGACCGCATTCGGACTCGAGCGGTTATTAAGGTTATTTATGGTTTTCAAATTAGGGCTAGTTTCTTGGTGGGCTTGGGCCTTCCGAGAATGCACATGGGTCTTTTCCAAAGGCTCCTTGTTGGGCTTCTTACCCGACCAACCATTGACAATTTTTTCTGTGTTAGGCACGATCGCTAATTAACCTTGACGCTGTTGAAAACGAATTGATGTCCTTCGCTCGAAAGAAAACTTTTTTGAGGTAAACTGAAAACTTGAATCGGGGGATCACAATTATGGTCCTCCTACTACTTTGCAAGTGTTCAAATTTGGTCTCTTTTCTATTTTTTTCAAGACGAATTTGGTCCATATAGTATATGGAAATGAGGATTAAAAGAGTACGTATTTGTACACCAATGAGGATTTAAAGACATCCTTCACAGTTACACATCTATGGGGTATATAAATTGCTTATTAAGCACAGAAAATTACATTTATGGTCCTTGAATTTTTGAACAATTTTGAATTTTGGATACATCACGTGATAACAGTGACGTGGTGCAATTGATCGATCATCATCGTTTGGGTGCTATGAATTTCATCTTATATGGTTCCATATGTATATTCATCTTGTTTTTGATATGTCGATTACTACCGCGTGACATACTATTAAATAAAAATACATTCTCTCGAGAGTTGGGTTAGGAAGACTTGGCAAAGGGTGACAAGTTTGATTTTGTTGCTCATAGCATCAAGGTTGGTTGCCATTAATGCTATCCTATATGTATTATTTTGCAATGTTACTAAAATTTCTTTGTTGGACTTGGCACTTTCGAGCAAGATTTAGATTTGAAATGTATAATATTGTTTAGAGAGGGGACAAGTGTAACAAAAGTCCTAAATCTATTGTACCCGATGCCAATTCCGTTATAAATTTTGTAATTTGATCAATTTAGTTGTGAATCTTTTGAAGATTTGTCAAAGTAGTCTTTCTGGTCGAGAGAGCAAGAGATCATGAAGGACTTTGTAATGAGATGGGGTGGTTATTAAGGGAAAAGATTTGGTAATAGATGTACTCCCATTTATTTGAAAGCCACCACGTAATTAATTTTCCTGTGTGATGATGGCATTAGAATTTACTTTAGCTCACTTGTTCGTTTGACAACCCATTGTTTTTGTCATACGATAGTATGGCAGATGTTGTTAAATCATTGATGAAAATATTGAATGCACTAATTTATCGTGAAATAGTATGGGAACTATTTTAACTAGGGCAAAAAAGTACAAAGACTACAGGTGTGATTTTGGGCACTTAGCCAGCAATTTTCTTGATTTAGTACCTTTGGGTTTCTCCATGTTATTTTCCCGCATGAATTGCCAAATTTCACCAAGATTTAGGCTTTGTTTGTTTCGCAGAAAATGAATGATTAGGGAAATATTTTCTTAAAAATGATCGCTTGTATCACTTACAAAAATAAATAAACGGAAATTATTTTCATCGTTTACAAAAATGTTGAGTTATAAATTTCTATCGATAATGAAAATATTTTTCATTTACTAAATATTTCAAGTGATACAAGCGATCATTTTAAGGAAAATATTTTTCAAATCATTCATTTTTCGTTTGAATTCTTTTGAGTGGCTACGCTAGAGAAACCCCAGCTCTCGACACCATGATTATTCGCGACTAGGTATCATTTATATCACACAAATAGTACATGTCTCCTTTAAAATATAAAATGAAGTTTCTTTTCTAAACAATTGAAAATAATTACCATTTCAGTTTTTTTTTTGAAAAATATTTTCTATAAATGTCAAATTCTCCGATGAACAAACGGAGCATTATATGAAAAATGTGGAAAATGTCTGGGACTCATCACTTGAAGATTGCGTACCGAACACAAAAAATTGATAACCAAAATTCAACACGTGCAAAAGTAATGGGCCACAAGTGCAATTTCCCCTAATGGAGCAGGCTTTGTGATCGAAAGCGAGACGAAAGACCATAGCCACACCGGAAGAAGGGGAGGAGGCGAAAGTCCTCTCTGCCCGTCTCTCTCGGACTCAGGGCCTCCGCAGCACGCGACGAAGCTCTCGGCTCGAGCGGCGGACATGGTGGTCCCGTCTTCTCTGCAACCCAGAATGCTCTCCTCTTTCGCCGGGGTCCGCTTCATTCGCTCCGCTCAGCCCGTGCAACGCCTCTTTCGCTTCAACCCAGGTCTAAAGAAATACGAATTTGCCTCTAGATTTTCGTCCTTGTGCCGCGAAACTGCGTGTGTGCTCATTGGAATAATTGGGTGTTTCCGAGTCTTCACCATTGCTTTATTGTGAGAATCACTCGGGTGCCCTTTGAACGAGTTTCAGAAACTAGGGGGTTATAGAGTATGGGATGTTACATGTATGAAACTGGTTGTTGTATGTGTTTGTTTGTTTATTTGTACTTCCTATAGAGTAGAGTAATATATGTTGCGTACGGCTTTTTCTTGCTCTAGGCTATGATTGATTCAGTACCTTTAGCTGTATATCTCACTAGTAGAGCGATGTTTGTGGTGATAAGGGGGTTGCTCGCTGGAACAGAGTCTTACAAATGATGGGTCAGCTTGTGAGAAAGATATACGTCTAAATTTTCCGATAAAATTTTTGATACTCTGGATTACAATCATTTTGCCTTGCGTTCTTGGGTTTCTTGAGGAGCTGTAAGTGGTCAGACTGCATAAGGAAATAGTCTGTTACGAAGTAAGAAAAGGTGAAGGCTAAAAAATATGTTTTAGTACTCTACATTCTAGTTTTGGTGATTTGTGCATATGATCCCTCGGCGGAACGGCGTTTAATCTTCGTTTGAGTTTTCTGTTCAACATATCGGAACGTATTGTGGTGGAATTTGAGGTCATTAGTAGGACGGTGGAAGAAAAATTCTTGATTCAGCAACGGGGAGTTAAATGCTAGCTTGAACAGCGTTTAATATCAGTTTGAGTCTCTGTTCAACATATTAGAATTTAAAAGTGATGGAAATTAAGGCCATTGATAGCATGGTGGAAGGAAAATTCTCTGGTACGGAACTTCAGTTTGGATGCTATCATCACCTGGGCAGTTAATTTTCTTACTCGCTCATGTGCCTGTTGTTGTTCTTAGTACAAAAGCTTAAGTATTGCTGAACAAACTCTTCAGTTTTACTGGTTTTCCCTTTGAAAAGGGTATCTTGTAATCATGTATGCAACATTGGCACTATTATTTGTTGGGGTGGAGTTGAGTTGTGTGGCCAGCTAATTGTCATTGTAGTCCATCAACGCAAAACTTTTGCTTAAATTCTGCCTTTTCTGGAATGAATAGTTGTCGATGAACATGTGCTAAACATCAAACATCCATCTTCATTTTTAATGTGGATTGCAATTGCAGGAAGCAAGCATGTGTCCATGCAGCTATCAAGATCTCTCTCTGGCTTAACCGATCTGTTATTTAATAGGCGGTATGTTGTGCAAGAATCCACTGTGTGCAGAATCTAGCTTGTTATGAATTATTTTCGATTTTATGAGGGGTACCTTGTTCAAGGATAACGTTCTTTGGCCATCTTTTTACTGTTCAAAACTTTGAAGTTGATGTCATTTTCAGGAATGGTAATATGTATGAGCACATCTCTACATTGTCTTGTCTGTGAAGTTCCCTCATGTAGTTTCCTTTTTGTAAGATAATCTCTTTAGTATGCTTGTCACAATAACATCCTTGGATAGGTTTTCAAATTTAACTTCTTCAGAAAAACCTGTGTGGCTAGCATCAACAGTTCTTGGCCGGAAATCCATATTGTGCCCTCTTTCTCCCAAATTTTGGCTGGAAATATGCTGGGTAGGTTGGAGGGGAGTGAAGATAAGACCCACCTTGTGATTATTTTGTTTTACATCAAGAGGGTGTGAGATGACATTCTAGCCAAAATTTAATAATGTTTCATGCCACAGCCACTTATGGTTTTCTGACATTGAACATTGGAAATCTCTTTGAGGGTGTTACTATGGGTTATTTTACAAAAGTGAAAGTATGTGGAGCAGTTCAAATTGAGTTGAAGTATAGGAGTGTGGACACAATCTAGTCCTTCATGAATTTGAAGTTACAATATCCTATTGTATGTCTCCTATGGTGCATCACACTGGTTTTGATGTACTTTTCTGATCCTGTCATGATCTTATTCTGTCTCATTTTGTGTACCAGTAGCTGCGATATGCTGGTGTAGTTAATTTCTAGGGCTTGCCTTCTTTCCATGAAGTGATCATTTAAATGACTATCTTCTTTATGCATTGTCAAATAATATTTTTTGTGCCAATACTTCAGTATTTTGATGCTAAAGTTTTTAAATTTGAGTAAACTCTGTTATCAGCTATTTGTGTTGTCTGGCAATAAACTGTTTCAAGTGTCAGACTTTTGCTTGCGAGATAATAGATGAGACTGGTGGCTGGTCATATGTACTGGCACACTGATAAAATGCATTTCTATTCAGCTGTTTTTCTGAATCTACCAGATGCTGTTTCTTAAATAGGTGCTTGTTATAATGTAGTTTGGGTCAAGATGTATGCCTTCCTCAAGTGCTATGGTGAACATATGTCCTTGAAAAATAATGCTTCATTGATATTCCCTTTCCAGTTGACTACATGGCTAGTTGAGTTCACGATGGGAATGTCTTTAGATATTCTCATATGTGCTGGCAGGTTAAATAGGCATGTATAGAGAACCGAAAATGCTCTCGGAGGGCTTGCTTTTTTGACAGAGATTATGTTGAAATTTGCAGAAATGAAGATGTAGCCGATGGCAAATGTAAACGTCTAAGGCCTGGAAAAATATCTCCACTTAGACCTGTTCCTGATCACATTCTAAGGCCTCCATATATTGGTTCTCGGCAACCACCTGGGATAGCTAGTGGACCTGAAGTGCATGATGAGAAAGGAATAGAATGCATGAAAGCTTCAGGAAAGCTTGCTGCCCAGGTTCTTGAATTTGCTGGAACTCTTGTTAAGGTACACTATCTTTGTTGTTATATCTTTCAGTTGCTAGAGCCTGAGTTAACATGGCTCCAGATAAGAAGGAATAATAGGAAATGATTGTATCTGACAAAAAGTTGGTCGGTGACCAAGTGAGGATAAGAATAAGATGAGTTCGATACTGTGGGGGTTCTGACATGTGAGACAAAGGTTTCTAGATGCTTCTCTGAAAGATAGGCTCTCTGGTAGAGGCGTAGGTCAAAAGGGATTAGGAAGGCCTAAGGAGACACAAAACAGAAGCAAACATTGGAAAATGCTATGGAATATTTGGATCTAACTGAGAATATGGAATGAGGTATAACATGTAAGATTATCCATGTAATGAACGTCACTTAGCGGGAAAAAAGATTTCTTCTTCTTCTTCTTCTTTGGTTGCAAGCTTGCTTCTCTCCCCCTTGATTTTATTTTTATGTGCTTCATATTTATTTGAAACTCTTTTTTTCCCCATGTCTATTCTTTGTCCACTTTACCGTGCCTTCTCACTGTAACACTACTTTGGAATTTCTATTATATATCTTTTCGATATTTACTGCACACAAATGTTTTAGAAAGATCTATTTCTTCTTATGAAGGTTCTCTTTTGGTTCAGTTCTGGAAAATTAAGAAATCCAAACTTCTGATCCTTTATTTGTTTCTATGGTCTTTTGAATTTGAAGATATTTTTGATAAAATGGATCTTCATTTGGAAATTTAATGGATGCCTCTCTATGCAGCCAGGCATTAGGACAGATGAAATTGATCAAGCAGTCCACCAAATGATTATTGACAATGGAGCATATCCCTCCCCTCTTGGCTATGGTGGATTTCCAAAGAGTGTTTGCACATCAGTGAACGAGTGCATTTGCCATGGAATACCTGATTCACGTGAACTTGAGGTCCTCACTTTGATATTACACTAGCGACTCTGTATGTACCAGGATTTGTTATGGAGGTGCTAACATGTCTTCAATTGCAGGATGGGGATATAATCAATATTGATGTAACAGTCTATCTCGATGTAAGAAGAAGTGCTTTAGTTTCTTTGTTGCATACTTGGTATGTGAGGAAAATATTATTGTATGTTTGATTAAGATGCTGCACATTGCTTGATTATCCTATGCTTCTTGTCCTCAGTTGTTTATTTTTATCTTGTTTTGCAAATAGTTTGTTGCATACTTGGCTTCTTTTCAGCAAAATAAATATTCTAGCAGAAATAAAGTATAAATCTAGGCCAAAGTGGTAAGAAAGCTTATGCACTTGCACACATGCATGCAGGATGCTTGTGTCTTCTTAGGTGATTACTAACAGGCAACCTATGGCCGGGACATATGGATTTTTAAGTGTGAATAGAACATCTTGTGTGTGTTATGATAATGGTTTCTTTAACTTGTTGCTTACTGTGTATATCTGTTCTTCTCTTTCATAAGTTAAACATCCAAGAAGCGTGGTCCTGCCTCCAGAAAACAGTGTGATAGGGAATGCTGTCTACTGTATGCCTCATTAGTTCGTTTAGCTTTGATTATCTCATCCTTTACTGATTTTTTTCATGTTGTTTTTGCCCCACTTCCATGTAGCCTTTATTTTTGTGACTCAATGCTTGATCTTTTCAGAAGGTTTTTAGTTTCAGCTGGGATGAATCAGGATCTTTCTCCATTTAAGATCCTATTTTCAGGAGGGCATCAGAGGGTGGGGATAGAATTGCTCTTTTCAGCTGGGGTTGGATCTTAGGCTTTTAAGCTCATATTTCATATGAAGGGTTTGTGTTTAATTTGTGGAAATGATGAATAAGCTAGATCATGATGCTTAAATAATAATAACTTTAGTAACAATAATAGAATAAGTCCTTATATTGGTCACATGCAATGCAATGGCCATAGTGCATGGGATCTCTCCTGTTGCATGTGCAGTCAATTGCTATTTCTTTCTGAAGAATGTTTTTAGAGGGCCATTTCTCAGACTAAATGTGCTTTTTTTTTTCTCCTTGATTTGATTGTCATATGAAGGGTCATCATGGTGATACTTCTGCAACCTTCTTCTGTGGAGAAGTTGATGAAGAAGCAAAAACCCTAGTTCAGGTAGCTTTTAAATTTCAATTGCTGTGGATGACGTGTAGAATGGAATAGCTCTTTCTCTTTCTCTTGAGAGTTTACATCCTAATTTTTTTCAGCTGTTTTGATATTTTTGAATGGTTGCTAAGTAGACTTTAACACATGCTTTAGGTAACAAAAGAATGCTTATATAAAGCAATATCAGTATGTGCACCAGGAGTGGAGTTCAAGAAAATTGGAACAACAATCCAGTAAGGCATCTGCTGTTGTTATTTTTCATGTTATAATAAACTTCTGCAGTGACATCTCACGCCTAATTAGATTGGCTGAAATTTCTGACTATGCATCTTCTACATCTTCTTTCTGTATATGTTTACCCTAAATCTTAAAAATGCATTACTTTTGTCACATGTAATGCGCGATGGCTAATCTCCTTTAATTGTATTGTGAATTGGCTGTAAGTTATTAACTTATTTGCTTGGAGTCCCACAATTTTGCTGACAGTAATTTATGTCTAAGTGACCATGCAGATAAATATCGTTATGGTGTTGTCCGCCAATTTGTTGGCCATGGGGTTGGACGCGTGTTCCATGCAGATCCTGTTATTCTACACTTCAGTAAGTTGCAACACTATTTCTTTTTTCTTGCTGTTCACTTGTTTTACTTTTGTTTGGGGTCTGCATTTTATATCATTATATTTACGTCACAACATATTGATTTCTTCTTACGGTTTACCTTTGGCATGTTCACTAATTTTTTTTTTTGGTTTTTTTTTGGTTCAAGAGCATGTTCATTAATTATACTTTTTGAGATAATTTGATGTTACTGGAGCCCATACAAATTAGGGGTATAAATGGGCAGGCAGGCTGGGCTTTTTGTAAGAAATTAGCCCAGCCTGAACTTTTGGGGCCTGAACGTCCCGGCCCAAAAAGAGCCTGAGCCCAAACAGTAGAAAATAGCCCACTCTTTTATTTCAGGCTGGGCCAGGCCGGGCTAGGCCCGAAATTGCTAAAAAAGGAAAATAAATCATACATCTAAAATATTATATAGTACTTGGAAGGTGTTTGGATAAAATTACGTAGGACTAAATACCACTTACAATAGGCAAAAAGTGATGGCCATGAGCTGAATATGGAGCAATTGTTGACCTAAATGGAAAACAGTGTCAGCCCTTTAAGCCAATTCTCTGGGCAATTGTGGACTTCTTTATCTAAATAAAATTATATAGTACTTGGAGCAAACAACCTGCTGTTACAATTAACAATCCTCAACTTAACTTATAGAATAAACAATCGAAAACATTACAATCTCAAATCTATGATAAACCAACTTCTCAAAACATCTAAACATTAACATTAACACACCTGCTAACTAAACAAACAAACTAAACACCAAATTCAATGTCACGTACATAAAAAACTAGCCAAACTAAAAACAAGACGCAACATGGTGATTCAAGAAGAAGAGAGACTATTGATCTTCTACTCGTAGTTCCTCTCTTGTTAGTCTACTTGTGGTACTTGATCCCACTAGCTGCATGGGCGGATCGTCCCTCTCTGCTGCGTTCTGTCAGGATATAGATTACAGGAACAAATGTAGTTGAATGGGACAGCAGGTGGGTTACATGTTCCACTGTGCCGAGATGTGAGGTGTAGGTGGTGATGATCACCTCGGAGTATGTGCTAGCGCCCTTGACAGGCACTCCAAGACCCGCCAATGCTTATGAAAACCCAGGTCGATGAACCGAGAAGAAACGTAAGAGGCTAGGGTGTCTTTTTCTCTCTTCTCATCTATCTTTTAAATTTAGCTTAGTTCTTTTAATCCTTTAGTTTAGTTGTTCCTTTCATAGTGCTTTTAATGTTTAGTATTTTTAACTTTTTTTACATATGTCTAGAAATATTTTATAATTAGGTTTTAGCATATGTTTTTACTAGTCATTGTCCATCAACATATGTTTATATTCCATAAAAAGAAGAAAGAGTGTAAATACATTAACGTGAAATTCTTTTGAAGGGTTAATGTGTAACAGGACTAGTTTTTAGTGTTAACATAGAATCTCTTAAATGTTTCTTAGGTCACTAGTTAAATTAAACAGTAATTAGTTACTGTTTAATTGAACAGTTGAACGTTTGTTTTCTTTGAGTGAACAATTTGTTTACATGAATGCCAATTTTGAACGCAAAATCTTATTTCTGATTGATTTCAATTTGGATTTTTCACTTTCAAGATGATTATCTTTTTCTCCACGTCTCATAATTTTTTTAAATTCCATCAGTTCAAATATCATAACTTAACATTTTTACCTTATATGATATGTGTTTTTTTATCTCGTTAACCGAAATAAACTTTGGCTGCGTTTGGTCGACCGGATAAAAGTCAGGATATGATATGTTTTATCCTATCCTGTGTTTGGTGGTGGTCCAGGATAGGATAAGGTCGGATATAGACCGGATATAGCCCGGATCAAAAAATCCGAGGAGGGGGGTGGGATAGACCTGGATAGGATTTCTAATGCCTATTTTTCCAGAAACCCTACGCTCCACTTGCCGTCATCTTCATCCTCACACCTTGTGCGCTTTCACCAAAAAAATTTCTCGGCTTTTTTTCCTTCACCGACTCCTCCGGACCCGTGAATAGCAAAAAAAAAAAAAAAATTATCCTATCCGACTTTAAATCCGTAGTCCACCAAGCAGTGAATAGGATATGAAGAAATCTCAGGATTTCTTATCCTATCCTATCTAGTCTTATCATGTTTAGAAATCCGGACAACCAAACGCAGCCTTTAAGTTCAATGGAAGGATTCAATGTTTGCTTTCTTTGAGTGAGAAATTTGTCTATTTGAGTGTTAATGTTTGATGCAATATCTTATTTCAATGAACTAATTATTTTCTTAATTTATTAGCTCAATTGAAAATTTAAACTGTAAGTGATACGATAGTCTATTTGAATTCTAAAGTTCAATTCAAATGTTGGTATATATGTAAAAATCTTTATATGGTATAATAAAATAAGTTGTTCATGTAGAATTTCATTTATTTCATCTTGAATTAACAAATATTAAACAAGTATTACTAGGAATATGAAAATATAAGAACTGTGGGCTGGGCCGGGCTATTTAGGGCTACATACATAGAGGTCTGATAGCCTAGCCAGGCCCGAAATTGAAAATAGAATAAAGCGTGAAAACCTGGCTCAGGCTATCTGGGCTAAGGGAATTTGGGCCAGGCTGGGCTTTTGGGGTTTCGGATCTATATTTTCAGCCCATATACACATTGTTTTACTCTTGCATTTGGGAAATGTGATTAAGGCAGTGTTCTACTCTCAGCTAATAAAAACCTTATCCTACATAATTACATACTTTAAAATTTGGTTATGATATGTCTCCAGGTAATATAACTGTGAACTGAGGGCTTGGATATTCTTGAGTAGAAGGAAGTTCAAGATTCATGGGCTGTCTTTATTAGACTGCAAGATAGCGTCAAGTGATGGAAAACAACTTTTTTCATGGCAGCTTTCAGTTTTCTTAAGTTGTCAAATGTTATGTCTGTTGTGTCGTGTGTAGCTAATCAAGCGTAAAGTGGTCTAACTAGGATTTGAGTTCACATTTAGAATATTGAAGAATTTTGGAGTGAGAAATACAGAGAAATCCATTTCTGTGCTCTCTTCATGGCAACAAATTTGTCTAATAAAATTGATGTTAAGCTAGTCTTGATTAGACAGTTCTTTTGAGATTCGATTTGTGACGGGAGTGAAATTCCTGCACGGGATCCATGTTTTGTTTCTCTATCAAATGTCATCAGTTGGTATATAATCTCAAAAGAGTGTTCTCAAATTTCTGACTCTGTAGTGCAATGATGTGATCCATGTTAATATTTTTCAGGGAACGATGAAGGGGGACACATGGTATTAAACCAGACGTTCACCATCGGTATGCATATTTAATCTTGAACTCCAACTTCTGTAAAAAAAGAAAAAGAAAAATCTTGAACTCCAACTTTACGTCTACTTTTGCGATGACCTTACCATTTATTGTCTAATTTAACCAGTTACGTGAATGGTGTGGTTATGTGTTGGTTTGTCTACATTCAATTGATTTTGCTTTTATTTCTTGGGTTCATTGCCAGAACTCCGAGAAAATAAAAGTAAAAAAATAAGAGACAGAAACAAAGTCTGATGATTCAGGTTAAAAAAAGGCTTAGCTGAGCCAAAACAGTTTATTATTGCTAAGTTTTAGATGCTGATTACGAAGGGATTGATTTCAAAATAATTATACATCAAATGGGTCTTAGACACAATGAGAGTCATTTTAAATTGTTTCGTGGCACATTTGTTTAGTGATGATGTACATCCTCTTTTTCTGTTTCTCCCAACTGCTGATATTATTCGCTATTCGATTGATTTGGGCAGAGCCGATGTTGACAATTGGTAGCATCAATCCTGTGATGTGGGATGATAATTGGACTGTTGTAACAGAAGATGGAAGCCTCTCAGCGCAATTCGAGCACACCATTTTGATAACCAAGGATGGAGCTGAGATCCTAACACAATGCTGAAATTGTTCCTCTCATGCATCCGCCAGTTATTTTTATCACCAGAAACCTGCTGTATGAGATTGACTGGATTCGTCTCTCCATGTTGAGATGATTGTGGGAGGCGCTGAGCGATCTTTCTTGCCTCAATGAGGTTTAAACAAAAAGGATTGGGGGAATCACCTTCTCCCCTACAGTGTTCATTCATTGTTGTGCCATCGATTCATTGATTATCCTCCTTGTATTGCTGGAGGAAAGAAATACAAGTGTACGATAGTCTTGAGATGCCGATCTTTCTCAAACTTGTGCATTTCCAGATTGAACCTTGTACTGATAAGGGAAATATAGTTATTTTCTTCTGGTCATTCTTGTCACAATTTTTTTTTCTCTCTTCTTTATAAACAGATTTTTTATTATTATTTTGATTAAATAAACTATACGCTGTCGACAGATGAAAAAATATGATCGGAACTTATGCAAAAAAGCATCTATCAAACTCTTTTATCTATTTTTCACTGTCGTTCGTGCTGATGAAATGTTTTCCGGTTCATAGCCAGCAGAAATAGAAGATTTAAGAAGGTTGTTAATTTGCATTCCGTTTCGAATGTAAGCTTGGGTTGATTCGTGTTCTCTCTCTTCGACTCCTTAATGGGAGTTGGGGTGAATTTCCGATACTCCTTTCACAATGGTAGAGTTGATAACTCTATCCTTGTTCCACAGACTTTACCCAAATTCTATATACTAGATCAAACAAACTGTTAACCGTGAAATGAAAGAATGTATGTATGATTATGATGAACGTATCTGCATACATTCTTCATATGGTGATTGGCTCTGTCTACCGGCTTTGTCTACCATCCTTTCGTAGACAAGATCTACACGGTAGTCTCTCACCGTTTCAACATCGACATCCCAAGACCTCTTTCTCACATAATTTTCTAGCTCTTGCTTACTCTGAAAATGTGACCTCAGAGCTAAATATGGCTGGGCAGATCTAATCTTTCTCCAATCTGGGTCAGACCAGGTGTTGAGCGTACGTCAAAGTGTTTTGCAGTTTGGCAAATTGGTTTGAAATTTTCGTACTTCCATCTTCTATTTCCAAAAATTGAAGTTGATAGCAGCGAAGAGTGGAATGAGGGGAAGTTACTGGTTATGAATTCGTCGACTTTGGCTTCCCCTACTTGAATGGCCAACTATATCGCATCTTTCAAAATCGACAATATAAAGGAGGACAAGAAATGATTGAATTAGCTCGTTTTTTTAAAGGTCAATAAGGATAGTTTTCCTAGAAAAGCCACCATTTGTGTTTTGTTTATTGCATGAGATAGACTAGCTATTAAAAATTCCAAATATATAATTTGTGGATCTGATGGAAGCGCAACGTGCCTTTTGTTTTGTCGTTTGTTTGGAAAAAGCCACAAAAATCCCAAACTTTGCATGCTATGACGTATTTATTCTAAATTAATTTTTTGTAACACCAAGAACCTCAAACATGTATCCGTGTGACACATTTATCCCAAACTTTTTTCTGTGATACCAGAAACCTCAAACTTACACTGGTGTGACACATTTATCCAAAAAAAAAAATTTGTGACACTAAAAAGCCCAAACTTTTTTCCGTGACTCCAAAATTTTGGAGTGAATGTGTCACACAGATAAAAGTTAGGGGTTTTTGGTCACAAAAAGAAGTTTGGGGCAAATGTGTCATATAGGTACAAGTTTGGAGTTTTTGGTGTAAAAAAAAGTTTGAGGTAAATCTGTCATAATGGGTATACTTCAGGGTTTTTGGTGGCTTTTACCCCTCCGAATTATAGGCTTTATCTCTTTTGTTAAAAAGATCACATCTTGTGATCGGAAAGAAATACATTTTCTACATGAGAATTAATATTTAGACTGTCCAAGATATACCCAGGCGAAATGTTGATTATGGCTCAAAATTAACCCCCGTTGATTGAAATACGACCCATAATTGAATTGCACGGAAACATAAACCATATAGGAAAGTCCAAATTGGACTTATGCAAACAGGATCGTGAGTGATGCAAAAGGGTTATTAATTTGCCACAAGACTTCCTTTTCTTCTTGAAGACGAAGTCTTTGTTGACGTCGGAAAATGGCTCATAGTTTTTCGCATGAAAGTATTTTGTTGTGGAGTTTGGTCTTGTGTGCATAGTGAGTGTGCTTAATATGCGTGAAAACTTACCACACATATGTAGAGCATTGAGAGCCATCATCCAAGAAAGATGAGCGTGTGAGAAAACCCCTTACAATGGATTCTTATTGATTCGGATTTAATCTAAGATTAAAAAATAATTATGAGTTGATGTGATTGAACGTTGGAATATCATCTCTACCGATTATAGTAGAATCATCTCGTCTCTCTCCCTGTGGAGTAGGCACGTTGATGAACCATGAAAATCTGCCGCTTTCAAGTTTTATTCCTATAATTTAATTTAGGGATAAGTGCATTCAAAGTCCTAAAACTTGTCACAAAAGTGCAATTGAGTCCTAAAACTTTCAAAAAGTGCAAACAAGTCCTAAAACTTGTCACGAAAGTGCAAACAAGTCCTAAAACTTGTCAAATTGGTTCAATCAAGTCCTTCTATTGATTGCACTTTTTGAAAATTTTAGGACTTGATTGCACCTTTGTGATAGGTTTTAGGACTTGATTGCACCTTGGTGATAAGTTTTAGGACTTGATCGTATTTTTTAAAAGTTTCAGAACTTGATTGCACTTTCTTGACAAGTTTTAGGACTTCTAGTGCACTTATCCCTTTAATTTATATCTTACTTGAAACGTTTTGTCAGTTCATACTTCCGCATTAGTTGTCACAGACTGGTATCGAGTCTAAGGTTATTGTTGTTGATTGATGGTTCATGGATTTTATCTGTCTACAATTATCACTATGGTTTCTACGAAATTTGAGTTGGAGAAATTCGCTGGTAGAAGTAATTTTAATATGTGGCACACTAAGATGCGAATTGTTGAAGACATTAGGGTTTGGATTTAGTGTTTGAGGAAAATAATGAATTTCTCCAAATTATGAAAGCGGAAGAAAAATATGGTATTTTTAAAAAGGCTAGAAGTATTATTTTGCTAAATTCAGGGGACAATGCGTTGTTGAAGTGGCAAGTGAGATGAGTGCAGTTACAGTTTGGGGAACCTTGAAGCACTGTATATGTCAAAATCGCTCTACGTTTCTTTTTTCTTTAAAAAGTTCTTAACGTTTCTTCACTTTTAAGATGATTGAGGAAATGTCAACCCATCATGATCACTTGAACGAGTTTAACAAAGTCATCAATGATCTAAGGAACGTGGATGAGAAGGTATGTTATCAATGGTAAGCTATGATGCTGCGTTGTTCTTTCCCCAGTTTTACGAGATTCTCAATCCACATCCATAGAGGAGGTGAAGTCTGCACTGTCCTCGAAAGAATGACAGAAGAAGTTGCACGAAACGATCGGAGAAGTGGCACCGCGGGTTTCATTGTTAAAGGTAGAAACTCAGATAGGTTCTAGCAGCATATACAAGTCAAGATCAAAGTCTAGAGCGAGGAGAAATCCGAGCAGATGCTACAACTGTCAGAAAGAGAGGCACATTGCAAGAAACTGCCAAGAGCTAAAGAAAACGAAGGGATTGGAAAGCAACGTGAATATTGCACGAGCCAGCGCGGGACATTGGACTATGTTCTATGTTTGTCTAACAATTCGACCAGGGATGACTTGATTCTGGATCCTAGAGCACATATGACATCACATTGGGAATCGTTTTTGGATTGTCAGTCTATTGAGAGTGGCGTAATGTGTACGGGCAACAACATTGAGTGCAAGGTTGTTGGCTTTGGACCTTGCACTTAGTATAGATCAGGATGCATGATTGGATCATTAGAACTTTGCGATGTGTTTGACACGTTCCGGAGCTGAGGAAGAATCTATTTCTCTTGGTAAGTTGGATTCTTTGGGTTGTTGGTATACTTTGGACTCTAGAACGTTGAAATTTATTAGGGTACACTCATGGCCATGAACGGGAAGTGGACACTCAGGTATTGTTGACACCAAAATTTCGACCGATTATTTAGTGTTAAATTACATAGAAAATTAGGGATCCCTAAACAAAAATATTAAAATTGCATAGCATATAGTTTAGGTTCATAAATGTTAATTGCATTTCACATTGGACCGGCGGTGGCGAGTAAACTGAAAATCCATAGCGTAAACCGAGCTTGGGTACCGAACGAAACTCGGCTCACTCAGGGGATAGGGGCCGAAAATCACAAGTCTAAAAGGCCTTAGTTATCTTAATTTGAGCTTAAATAAGCTCATGAAGCTTAATTAGAGAGAAGCCCAAATTAATTCAACCCATTTGAAATTAAAATAAAATCAAATGATAAAGCCTAAGCCCAAGCCCATTAGGTCTTAAAAGCCCAGCTAATTAACCTAGGTATGTGATATAAATATGTCGTTATGCCTCATAATCTAGGGGAAGCCTTCAGAATTTTCAGAATACATGAGTGAGATACGTGAGAGTGATAGTGTGAGAGAGAGAGAGGCGGTTGAGTCTTCCCCAGCCGCGGCTTGCGCCCCACCCACTACAAAAAAAGTTGGTTTTAGCGACGAATTTTGCCATGAAAAATTTGGCAAAATTCGTCGCTAAACGAATTTGCGACGAAATTAGCGATGGAAAAAAATTCGTCGCTAATAGGCCGTTGCAAAATTTTGCGACGAAAAATTTCAATTTTCGTCGCTAAATTGTGACGAAAAAAAATTCGTCGCTAATTATTCGTGGCAAAATTCGTGGCTAATTTGCCATGAACTATATTCATCGCAAAATTTATCGCTAATTATTCGTGGCAAAATTCGTCACTAGTTTGCCACGAACTTTATTTGTCGCAAAATTCGTCGCTAATTAATCGTGGCAAAATTCGTCGCTAAATATTCGTGTCAAAATTCGTCGCTATTTTTTTCGAAATTTTTTTTTGTTGGTAACAAAATTGCGACGAAATCTTTTCGTGGCAAAATTTATCGCTAATTTGCGACGAACACATTTCGTGGCAAAATTCGTGGCTAATTTGCCACCAAAATTTTTTTTTGGTCAGTATTTTGTGACGAACTTATTCGTGGCAAAATTCGTCACTAATTTGCCACGAAAAATTTTGACTTTTGCCACGAACATTGTTCCGAAACGAATTTAGCGACGAATTTTAATGAATAATTTAGCGATGAAGTCTGCGACGAATGTTGTTTAGGGACGATTTCGATTTGAAATCTAATTAACAGCAATTATAGAATTTATATTTAACATTGATAGAAGCACAGTCAAGACAAGAACAAACACAAAAAAGAAAGAAATGGAACAAAGCACTGAATTTGTATGAAAAATCCTTGAGAGGATCCAACAAATTCAACTGCTTCAAATCCAGTTCGCTCTCTTGTTGCCAACTGTTGATCTTGCCAAGAAGTTCTTTCACGTAGTCTATAGTGTCTCCAAGAATCGAAGTCCTGTCCATTTGCAGCGCAAACAGAAGACATCACAATATCAAACTCCTAACCCCTCTTAATTTTTTCACATCTATTCAACAGTAGAAAGATGGGTGTTAAAAAAAGAATATATTAGGCTATGCTCACACAAAGACCAATTCCAGAGGGCATGTATACAAACCGAACACTTATTGTCATGTAGCATAAAGAATGATAGAAGTACCTCTTGCATTAACTTAGTGAACCCAGGGCACAATTCTCTGCGAACTGACTCGTTAAATATCTAATCCAAAGTGATATCTTGTAAAGCCACCAAAAGTGGTCTCTAATATGTCAAGTCCTACCTGGTTTGCAAAGACGAAAGCTGGAATAGACTGCCAAACCAAAAGGAAGACCGTCATTAATCATTCCTAATTACATACATGGCAAAATTCACTTTTAACAATTTCGAGTAATACAAATAACAGATAACAACACAATATGGCATCATGATCATTCCAAAGATTCTTCAAAGAATCAGTGCCAAGTAATTCAGATCCCAGCAACTCTGTTCCTAGAATGCACGTGCGTGCGTGAACAAGGGAGAGAGATAGCTGAGCATTAGCTTGATTAGTCCATTGTCTCTCGTGTACATGTGCAAAAACTCAACATGAACAGTAGTTGAACTTTTAACAGAATCGATACATGTGCATTGAACAAATGCAACAACTAATAACTTGTCCTATAAATAGATAATGCTGAAGCAAGCTTACCCTCGAGTTTGGAAATTTTAACTAGCAAGGACCGACAAAATGATCATCATCATCAGCAATCTCATTATCATTGTGTCGCTCATCATTGTGCCCATCACCTACTGGATTAGTGGGAGGTACAGGAGGAACGTCATCGTGATCGAGGTTGAGGTGTCGCAGGATCAATTGCAAATGTTGTTTCATTCCTCTTATTTCTTCGTCCTTCTGTAAAAGTAAATGTTTTAGTTGGCTCAATTCTTGGGTCATTTGCTCCTCGTGTTGTGTCCTCCTTAAAAAAGCCGCATTGGAGGATGAAGTTACAGCAGCCTGCGTTGTGTATATCCTTGACAAGGATCCCATCCCAAATATTTGACCTCTTCTCATTCCACCCGATGCCTCCATCCATAATGCTATACTGTCAACCGATGGCTCGGACGCAGCAACACCATCACCACCACTAGCAGCAGTGCTCATTACAAGTTCATCATATTTGTCCTACATTAACAATATAGATGAAAATAAAATAACTTCATCTATATAACTACCATAAATATTAACCTTACATAAAGTATAACCTTACATACCTTAATAGCTTTTGCTCGATCGCCAGTCCATGTCTTATCTTTTTTCTAAAATGTACGTTCAAATGTAGCTATAAATGTCGGTTCCGTCCCCAATTCATCTGCCTACAAAATATAAACATAAATAAGTAATCATTGAGTTAACTTACAGCATTGTTTAACAGACTTACCATTCTTTTTCTATGCTCCCTGATGTTGATAGATCCCCCAGCATATGTGGCAGACCCTTCACTAGAACTAGAAGCTCGATTTTTCTTATTTTGTTCACTGATTTGCTTATGCTTTTCGGTGTCCCAAGTTCTCTTAATTTCCGTCCAATTGTCAGCTGTAATAAAATCCGACTTTTCTTGACTTCTCTTTGCTCTATTCATCACATTTCGCATGTGATCATCGGCTTTCTTCTTAAAAATTCTTCTAACTTCTTTCTCTTCCGCTTCATCCCACCTGAACTTTCGCTGCAATCAATAGAAAAACAATTATATACTCAGTATGCTAAACCGAACTTAGTTTGTGAGAAAATAGAAGGACAAAACTTACCTTGAACTCATTCCACCACAATTCCTTTACTTCTTTTGGAGCGGTGGTCCAACTAGTATACTGTCACGCCCCGAACCCTATTGAGCTCGCGACATCCACCTCTGGTCGATTTATGCGACAACCCAGGAATTATCGCCGACCTCAATAATGCAATCATCAAAGATTTAATGCACGACGAAAACCACAAGCGCACCCGGACAATTCAAACGGGGAGAGTCAGGGAGAATATACATATTTTCATTTACCAACTTATAAACTATTTACAATATACAACCACCGCAAACACTTGCACACCACATTTGAAACCATCGATATACAAAAGATCGATGACCTGGCATCCAGACCTAAAAAATGGTACTCTGCCAAAAACCTACTCCGAGCCCCTATACTAATCCCTACGCCTCTTGCTAGGCGTCCATTCTGAGTCTGACTCATCATCACCGGAGTCTGAACTCCCTTGATCCGCTTGCTCTTCTGAAGACTCCGGCTCCGCCTCAATCACAATCGGATGATCAATCTCACCCGACTCAGCTGGAACAGCGTTCTGGTACTCCTCAGCTAGAATATCGAAGAAATTGATCTTAGGAACGTAATTGGGATCCATGTATTCCTCAAATGGGAGTATATACTCCGGGTCTCCTACAGGCTCTTCCGACTCCTCCGACTCGCCATCAGGTTCTACCTCGGGCTCCACCTCTTCTGGTTCCTCCTCATCTGGTTCCTCCTCATCTGGTTCCTCTTCCTCTGATTCCTCTTCAGGGATTGGTTCTAAGTCTATGTCCATCGGGTCATCCTTAGCTTGCGATGCTTCGGGCTCGGGCTCATACTCAGCCTCCGAAGATCCCTGAGCGGCGGGGTTGGATGCATCCCAGATTGCGCTACGCTAACCTCTGTACTGGTCAACTCTCCATCAATCGGGGGTACGGCAGTCGGGTCCCAATCCCCAACTAGATCAAACGGAACATCAAATCTTCTAACGGGTCCAAACTCAGCCCCATCCGCATCCCGGAAGAACCAAGCAGTATAAACGTGGGTCTCCCAAAGAGGCAATCGTACTTCTACGAAAACGGTCGTGGTATGCTTAATCCAGGTCATTCCATCACCCATCGGAAACTCTGTAACTTCATTCTCGGTGTGCACTGGTACCCCAAAACGTTCTGGTGGCGGTGGCGGTGGGTTCATGGCTCAGGTCGGGGTTCTGAAAATGTTGATTGAAACAACCATGAGAACACTTCTCAGCAAGTTCACCCCTAAACCCTACCTAGGCTATCACGTACCTCCAGACAATTTCACAAACACAATTACACACATACCATTATCACATAGCAGGCACATCAGTACAATCACAAGCATGCACAATTCTCATGTCATGCACTCATTCCGTTCTCATCATATCTCATTCACATTCCTCGCCAGTGACCCGCGTTAAAGTACACGCCTCAGGTACACTGCAACCTCTTTTCACAACACTTCTGGGCCCGCGTAAACGCACACGCCTCAGGCCATGTTTCTTGCCCGCGTAAACGTACACGCCTCAGGCTCAACACCTACCACCTACTACACAACCCGCGTTAAAGTACACGCCTCAGGCTGGCAGTTTTCCGGTAATACCGGGCATCGTCCCGCGTAAACGTACACGCCTCAGGACGGCACAATTTGCGCGAATTTATGTCATACCACATCTACTTTCTTACTCAGGCATATGCTCAACAAGCAATTACCACACACAACTGGCCAATCACACGTGGCCCGTGCACGCATCAATTACACACAACCCATGCTCACTCAGCATTTGACATGGCCAATTTTAATAATTAAATTAGTTTGGCCCACACGTGCACCCAGCAGGCATATTTCAATCGGGCAATTACACAACCATGCACTCAATTTGATCACAAAATTTCAGTCACAGTTCAAACACACCATAAACGCACAATTCGCCATTTTTCTCCAACCAAATGGCGTCAAATCGATTTCTGTCCTTCACGAGACTTTCTCGCCATTAAATGTCGGTTCTAAAAATCCAACTTGCGTCCCGATCGGCCCATCACAGCCCCATGAACAGTAGTCCACAACTCACTGTTGTCCTCCAATTTCCAATAAAAATTGTCCGAATTAAATCCTAAGGCCCGCCACATAATTCCACTCCTAAATCATGCAATTTCGCACTTAACTTATACCCGTTTTCACCCAAAAATCGCCCGTCAATACCCGAAGTCCTAAATGGGTTTTAGAGCGCGACTTACCCGCGTTCTAGACTATCACGGCTAGAACGGAAATTGGCGGCACTTAATCGGGAACGGCGGCGACGATGAACGGCTCCTGGCAGGCGGCGATCGGCTTGGGCGTGACCAGCAAGGCTCACGGCCACACGGGGAGGAGAAGAGAGAGAGAGACGGACGGCGTGGGGGTTGGGGGCGGCGGATCGGCGACGGCGTGGCGGTGGTGACTGGCGGTGATGGCTCGGCGGCGATTGGCAAGGAGAGAGAGAGAGAGAGAACGGGGGGATTTCACGGTGAAGGGGTAGGCCGAACGGGAGGGGGAGGGGGAGAGAGAGAGAGAGAAGAGAGAGAAAGGGGCCTTGTAGACCTAAATAGTGTAATTTGACCAAAACGGAAAATTACCAAAACGCCCTCGTCTAATCTTTTTGATCCAACGGTCCAGATTCGATCTAATCTTGAAACCGACGACCCAGATCGAATCTTACCAAAAATATCCAAGGGCACTCTTGTAATTTCTCAAAAAGTCCAAGGGCAAAATTGTCTTTTCCAACTTTTAGGGAAAAATTACCAAAATGCCCTTGCCCTTTAAAACTAACCCTTTAATAAATTCCAAGGGTAAAATGGTTACTTTCTCCGTTTCTCGCCGAAATCAAACTTTTATGAAGGATTCGAGCACATCCAAAATTGCACGTTCCATCCGCAACGTCGTCCTAACGTCCCGTTGTGACTTCCAAATTTTTCCGATGTCCGATTTGGGCTAAACTAAATAATCAAATTTTATCAAACGCAACTCGAGCGTTTCTCAAACTAACGGGCGGCTTGTTGGGAAAATTCGCATATTCGACCCGTGACTGACAATAATTCAGGTCACGTACAAATTTATTCGGCTCGTGACGACTTCGATTGTCATTAAAATCGCGAGGATCAATTACTAGATCCGAGGGGTACGATCGTTCGGTATAGGTTCAGAATAATTCGTCAAGTCATTTCGTGGTTCGGCGGAATCACCCGCGATCCATTACTATGACAGTGGCGAATTGACCCCTAGCTATCCTTGGATCGGCCAACAGTGGCTCAAAATATCACCTCGACGATTTTATGGTCGAAAATCAATTCACGATCGAATTTTCTTTTAGTCGTACGAATTTAAATCCCTAATTAGCCTTTCCCTAATGGTTAGTATGCCAGGAATGATCAGTTCCGGGCGAGAATTAACTACGAGTACATTTATAAAACTCAGTATTTTATAATCCCAAATGGACTGATTTTCAGGATGTCACAACTCTTCCCCCCTTACAGAAATTTCATCCTCGAAATTTACAAATCTCACCACTACCCAATATTTACAATTCCTACTACTACTCAAACAACTGGGGGTATTGACGTTGCATCACCTCTTCACTTTCCCAAGTTGCGCCTTCAGTCCCGTGGTGTTCCCAAATAACTTTAACCATCGGGATTGTCTTATTCCTCAACACTCGCTCCTTACGATCTTTGATTCTTATCGGTCTCTCGACATAAGACACTTTGTCATCAACTTCGATCTCCTCATAATTCAATACATGCGTCGGATCCGGTTCATATCTCCTTAACATCGATACGTGGAATACATTATGCACTTGCGATAGATTTGGCGGTAACGCAAGGCGATATGCCAAATCCCCGATCCTTTCTAAAACTTCAAAAGGTCCTACGTACCTTGGACTCAACTTACCCTTCTTATCGAACCTGGATAGTCCTCTCATGGGCGATACCTTAAGAAACACGTGATCCCCTACTTGAAACTCCAAAGGTCTTCGCCTTCTGTCTGCATAACTCTTTTGACAGCTTTGCGCTGTCTTCAGTCTTTCGCGTATAATCTTAACCGCCTCAATCGACTGCTCCACTAACTCTGGCCCAGTTATAATCCTTTCTCCCACTTCGTTCCAACACACGGGCGTTCTACAAGCTCTACCATATAGTGCTTCAAAAGGCGCCATTCCAATGCTCTGCTGGAAGCTATTATTATATGCAAACTCTACCAAGGGTAGTTGTTCTTCCTACTTACCCTGGAAATCCAGCACACATACCCTGAGCATATCCTCTAGAGTCTGAATCGTCCTCTCAGACTGGCCATCTGTCTGAGGATGGTAAGCTGTACTGAACTGCAACTTGGATCCTAACACCGTCTGCAGACTTTTCCAAAAACTGGCGGTAAATCTAGGATCACGATCTGAAGTTATCGACACGGGTACTCCATGCAATCGAACTATCTGCTGTACATATAATTCAGCGTATCGATCTAATGCGAAGTCCTTTCGCACAGCCAAAAAATGTGCCGACTTGGTCAATCTGTCGACAATCACCCAAATAGTGTCATGGCCTCTTTCGCTTCTCGGTAATCCTGACACAAAATCCATAGTTATGTGCTCCCATTTCCACTCTGGGATTTCCAAAGGTCACAATAATCCCCCGGGCTTACAATGTTGCGCTTTCACCTGTTGACACGTCAGGCACTTAGCCACGTATTTAGCGATATCAGCCTTCATACCATTCCACCAGTAGTACTGCCTCAAATTCCGATACATTTTAGTACTACCTGGATAGATACTGTAACTGCTACGATGCGCTTCAGACAAAATCTCTTCCCTAAGTCCTGTATCGTCCGGCACACATAACCATCCACGAAACTTTAATATCCCGTCCTCAGACACTTGAAAATCTAACTTTCTCTTGGCATCTTCCATCTCTACAATCTTTTGAATTTCTTGATCCGAAGATTGCAACATCTTGATCTTAGCCTGAATTTCCGGTTCAATCCTAAGCGTAGCCAACAAGCTCGAGACTTGACTCACTTTGAATCTGAACTCCGAGTCTCGTACTTTTTCCAATAGTGTCCACTCCTTGACCATCAAATGTACTATGCTTGACTTACGACTCAAAGCATCAGCTACCCGGTTAGCCTTCCCGGGATGATATAAAATTTCGCAGTCGTAATCCTTCAACAACTCCATCCACCGACGCTGCCTCATGTTTAACTCCTTTTGGGAAAACAAATATTTGAGGCTCTGATGGTCTGTATAAATCTGAAACTTTTCTCCGCATAGATAATGTCGCCAAATCTTAAGGGCGAATACAATTGCAGCCAATTCTAGGTCATGCGTCGGATAGTTCATTTCATGCGGTCTTAACTGCCTTGATGCATAAGCTACTACTCGCCCATTTTGCATGAGTACACATCTCAATCGTTTCAACGACGCATCACTATATATCTCATATCCTCTAGGTCCTGACGGAATAGTCAGTACCGGTGCCGTTGTCAATCTATGCTTCAATTCTTGAAAACTCCGCTCACATTTATCTGACCAATCAAATCTCGTTTCCTTTTTCAACAAATGGGTCAACGGCGTTGCTATTGCCGAAAATCCTTCCACAAAATGGCGATAGTATCCAGCCAAACCCAGAAAACTCCAAATCTCGATTACCGTTGTTGGCCTTGGCCATTTCATCACAGCTTCAATCTTCGATGGATCTACTGAGATTCCTTCCCCCGAAATCACATGACCCAGAAACGCTACTCGACTGAGCCAAAATTCGCACTTGCTAAACTTAGCATATAGCGCGTTCTCCCTTAAAGTCTGTAGGACCTTACTTAAATGGAATTCATGTTCCTCGGAACTTTTCGAATATACCAATATATCGTCTATGAACACAATCACAAATTGATCTAAAAATTCCTTAAACACCCGATTCATCAGATCCATAACGGCAGCGGGGGCGTTTGTCAATCCAAACGGCATTACAGTAAACTCATAATGTCCATACCTCGTTCTGAATGCCGTCTTCGGAATATCCTCCGTCTTAATCCTCAACTGATGATATCCCGTTCTCAAGTCGATTTTAGAGAACACCGAAGCCCCTTGCAACTGATCAAACAAATTATCAATCCTCGGCAAGGGATATTTATTTTTAATCATCACCTGATTCAGCTGCCTGTAATCTATACACAATCTCAACGATCCATCTTTCTTCCTTACAAATAACACCAGCGCTCCCCACGGAGACGCACTGGGACGAATAAACCCCTTGTCCAATAATTCTTGCATTTGCACCTTTAACTCCTTTAATTCTGACAACGACATCCTATAAGGTGCTTTCGAAATTGGCTCGGTCCCAGGTGCCAATTCGATTATAAATTCTACCTCCCTCGCTGGTGGCAGTCCCGGCAATTCCTGAGGAAACATATCGGGATACTCGCACACCACAGCTATATCCTCAAGCCTCAATTCTTCAACCGTTGAATCAACTACTGCCGCTAGGAATCCTTGACACCTTCACTCAGCAACTTCGTCATTTCAAGCGACGAAATCCAAGGAATCGAGGGTCCTCCTCGACTTCCCACAAATTTAAATTCCGGATGTCCAACATGATTAAATTGGATCACCCTACTACCACAATCCATTACGGCCCTCTGCTTAGACAGCCAATCCATGCTCACTATCACATCAAAATCATACATGTCTAGAACTGCTAAATCGATTATTTCCTCCCTATCCCCAATCACAATCTTACAGTTTAGACAACCCAACGAAATCAGCATCTTATCATTCAAGGGAGTGGTCACACATAATACCACATCAAGCAATTGCGGTTCCAAACCAATTAAATCAACAAACTGTTTCGATACGAAAGAATGTGACGCCCCGGGGTCAAATAAAGCATACGCAGCATGGTTGCACAAAGAAATCGTACCTGTGACAACCCCTGGTGCGTTCTCCGCCTCTCGTCTGGCCATAGCATACACTCGTCCTTGCGCTTGAGGCCTATTCTGGTTTGCTATTTGGGCAGCTCCAGCCTGATTCCCATTCCGAGGTGGCGACAATGCAGGCGGCCTATTCTGTCTGGGATTGGGGCAATTCCTTACATGATGACCGAATCCCCCACATCCAAAACACGCTCCACCCCGGGTTGGACAAGGTCCACTCCCGTGTCTACCTCCACAAATTCTACACGGTCCATTGAAATTCCTGATTGGTTTCCCAATATTCCTTTTAACAGAAGGAGTAAAGCGCCTATTATCCATCATCGGCCTCTTTCCCAAATTACGATTGTCCCTTCCCTAGACAAATCTCGATCCAGTGGCAGTGGCCCTATCCACCTGATCTCGCTCAAGGATTTGGGCCTTATCGAATATCTCCTCATACGTCTACAGATTTACCAGTAACAACTGGCTACGAATATCAGCCCTCAATCCGTCCCGAAATCTTCGCGCCTTGTCATCGGGATGTTCCACCATTCTTGGAGCAAACTTAGACAGCCTCGCAAATTCCGCCTCATACTGATCTACTGTCATCTGACCCTGGCGGAGTCTCATAAATTCGGCTAACTTCCTTTCCCTGGCACTAGCCGAAAAATACTTCTCATAGAAACTTCCAGTAAAAGCAGCCCAAGTCCGGGATGTACCCTTTGGAAAAACCCTATCTCTTGTGGCCTTCCACCAATCGTTCGCGTTATCCTGCAACTGGTATACCGCCAGAGTTACTTTCTCATGATCATTACACTCTAGCACCTCAAAAGCCTTCTCGAGCTCCTCTACCCACCGAGGTGCAGCCTCAGGGTCACCTTTCCCAGAGAATTTAGGCGGTTTTAACTTTATAAATTGCTCTACCAATTGATGCATCGGTCTATTTACAATCACATGCCCCTACCCTTGGTTCTCATTATCATTAACAGCAACGGCGGCCACAGCGGTCTTGGCAGCTTGGGCATCCACAGCAGCTCTTTCCTGAGCCTGCTATCCTACCAGATTTCCGATCTGTTCTAGGGTCCTCATAACAGCTTCCATTCTAGGATCCTCAGCAGGTCTAGCTTCCACCCTGGGTTCTGCTGCAGCTCCAGCATTGACCCCAAGATTTTCTATCGCTCTTGCACCCATACCCAGGTCCTCTACAGCCCTAGCTCGAGCCCGACCTCGACCTCTCGTTCCCCTTCCAGCGCCCCTTCTCGGGACTCTTCCTACGCCTCTTCCTTCACTGCTCATTATCGCAATTCTACCACTCTCCTACCTGCTATAATTCCATTTAGGAATTAGCACTCTATGCCCACTAGATTAATCTGATTCTAAACAGTGAATTAGCACAATAATTCACTCAACAGGCAACCCCTCACTACCAATCACGAGATCACAATCACAAAGGTCCGAACACTTACCTCAGGTCCAGACGCACCTGCATTTCCATCATCACAACAATTAATTCATTCAATCAATCACAACAACCAGTCTGGAGGCACGTGTAGCTTATTCCACCTTACAACTCGCTAAGGTCTCCCTAATTCTACCCCACAATCTCTGCTCCTTATCACTCCAAACTTCGACCAGTTTAGATCGAGCAGACCTTGCTCTGATACCAATTCAAACCGGGATGTCACGCCCCAAACCCTATCGAGCTCGCGACATCCACCTCTGGTCGATTTATGCGACAACCTAGGAATTATCGCCGACCTCAATAATGCAATCATCAGAGATTTAATGCAAGGCGAAAACCACAAGCGCACCCGGACAATTCAAACGGGGAGAGTCAGGGAGAATATACATATGTTCATTTACCAACTTATAAACTATTTACAATATACAACCACCGCGAACACTTGCACACCACATTTGAAACCATCGATATACAAAAGATCGATGACTTGGCATCCAGACCTCAAAAATGGTACTCTGCCAAAAACCTACTCCGAGCCCCTAAACTAATCCCTACGCCCCTTGCTAGGCGTCCATTCTGAGTTTGACTCATCATCACCGGAGTCTGAACTCCCTTGATCCGCTTGCTCTTCTGAAGACTCCGGCTCCGCCTCAATCACAATCGGATGATCAATGTCACCCGACTCAGCTGGAACAACGTTCTGGTACTCCTCAGCTAGAATATCGAAGAAATTGATCTCAGGAACGTAATTGGGATCCATGTATTCCTCAAACGGGAGTATATACTCCGGGTCTCCTACAGGCTCTTCCGACTCCTTCGACTCGCCATCAAGTTCTACCTCGGGCTCCACCTCTTCTGGTTCCTCCTCCTCTGGTTCCTCTTCCTCCGGTTCATCTTCGGGGATTGGTTCTAAGTCTATGTCCATCGGGTCATCCTCAGCTTGCGATGCTTCGGGCTCGAGCTCATACTCAGCCTCCGAAGATCCCTGAGCAGCGGGTGCTAGATGCATCCCAGATTGCGCTACGCTAACCTCCGTACTTGTCAACTCTCCATCAATCGGGGGTACGGCAGTCGGTTCCCAATCCCCAACTAGATCAAACGGAACATCAAATCCTCTAACGGGCCCAAACTCAGCCCCGTCCGCATCCCGGAAGAACCAAGCAGTATAAACGTGGGTCTCCCAAAGAGGTGATCCTACTTCTACGAAAACGGTCGTGGTATACTTAATCCAGGTCATTCCATCACCCATCGAAAACTCTGTAACTTCATTCTCGGTGTGCACTGGTACCCCAAAACGTTCTGGTGGCGGTGGCGGTGGCGGTGGGTTCATGGCTCAGGTCGGGGTTCTGAAAATGTTGGTTGAAACAACCATGAGAACACTTCTCAGCAAGTTCACCCCTAAACCCCACCTAGGCTATCACGTACCTCCAGACAATTTCACAAACACAATTACACACATACCATTATCACATAGCAGGCACATCAGTACAATCACAAGCATGCACAATTCTCATGTCATGCACTCATTCCGTTCTCATCATATCTCATTCACATTCCTCGCCAGTGACCCGCATTAAAGTACACGCCTCAGGTACACTGCGACCTCTTTTCACAACACTTCCAGGCTCGCGTAAACGTACACGCCTCAGGCTCAACACCTACCACCTACTACACAACCCGCGTTAAAGTACACGCCTCAAGCTGGCAGTCTTCCGGTAATACCGGACATCGTCCCGCGTAAACATACACGCCTCAGGATGACACAATTTACGCGAATTCATGTCATACCACATCCACTTTCTTACTCAGGCATATGCTCAACAAGCAATTACCACACACAACTGGCCAATCACACGTGGCCCGTGCACGCATCAATTACACACAACCCATGCTCACTCAGCATTTGACATGGCCAATTTTAATAATTAAATCAATTTGGCCCAGACGTGCACCCAACAGGCATATTTCAATCGGGCAATTACACAACCATGCACTCAATTTCATCACAAAATTTCAGTCACAGTTCAAACACACCATAAACGCACAATTCGCCATTTTTCTCCAACCAAATGGCGTCAAATCGATTCCGGTCCTTCACGAGACTTTCTCGCCATTAAATGTCGTTTCTAAAAATCCAACTTGCATCCCGATCGGCCCATCACAGCCCCATGAATAGTAGTCCACAGCTCACTGTTGTCCTCCAATTTCCAATAAAAATTGTCCGAATTAAATCCTAAGGCCCGCCACATAATTCCACTCCTAAATCATGCAATTCCGCACTTAACTTATACCCAATTTCACCCAAAAATTGCCCGTCGATACCCGAAGTCCTAAACGGGTTTTAGAGCGCGACTTACCCGCGTTCTAGACTATCGCGGCTAGAACGGAAAGCGGCGGCACTTAATCGGGAACGGCGGCGACGATGAACGGCTCCAGGCGGGCGGCGATCGGCTTGGGCGGCGACGGCGCGGCTTGGGCGTGACCGGCAAGGCTCACGGCTACACGGGGAGGAGAAGAGAGAGAGAGACGGACGGCGTGGGGGTTGAGGGCAGCGGATCGGCGACGGCGTGGCGGCGGTGACCGGCAGTGATGGCTCGGCGGTGATCGGCAAGGAGAGAGAGAGAGAACCGGGGGGGGTTTCACGGTGAAGGGGGAGGCCGAACGGGAGGGGGAGAGAGAGAGAAGAGAGAGAAAGGGGTCTTGTAGACCTAAATAGTGTAATTTGACCAAAACGACAAATTACCAAAACGCCCTCGTCTAATCTTTTTGATCCAACGGTCCATATTCGATCTAATCTTGAAACCGACGGCCCAGATCGAATCTTACCAAAAATATCCAAGGGCACTCTTGTAATTTCTCAAAAAGTCCAAGGGCAAAATTGTCTTTTCCCACTTTTAGGGAAAAATTACCAAAATGCCCTTGCCCTTTAAAACTAACCCTTTAATAAATTCCAAGGGTAAAATGGTTACTTTCTCCGTTTCTCGCCGAAATCAAACTTTTTTGAAGGATTCGAGCACATCCAAAATTGCACGTTCCATACGCAACGTCGTCCTAATGTCCTGTTGTGACTTCCAAATTTTTCCGGTGTCCGATTTGGGCTAAACTAAATAATGAAATTTTATCAAACGCAACTCGAGCGTTTCTCAAACTAACAGGCGGCTTGTTGGGAAAATTCGCATATTCGACCCGTGACTGACAATAATTCAGGTCACGTGCAAATTTATTCGGGTTGCGACGACTTCAATTGTCATTAAAATTGTGAGGATCAATTACTAGATCCGAGGGGTACGATCGTTCGGTATAGGTTCAGAATAATTCGTCAAGTCATTTCGTGGTCCGGCGGAATCACCCGCGATCCATTACTATGACAGTGGCGAATTGACCCCTAGCTATCCTTGGATCGGCTAACAGTGGCTCAAAATATCACCTCGACGATTTCATGGTCGAAAATCAATTCACGATCGAATTTTCTTTTAGTCGTACGAATTTAAATCCCTAATTAGCCTTTCCCTAATGGTTAGTATGCCAGGAATGATCAATTCTGGGCGAGAATTAACTACGAGTACATTTATAAAACTCAGTATTTTATAATCCCAAATGGACTGATTTTCAGGATGTCACATATACTGCCCCATCAACAGTTATTGATTATTTTATTAAGTTTCCTCACAACATACGTAGCATCCGTGAATCTGCAAACAGGTTATAACGATATGGACAATGAAGCATACGGACAATTCAGTTGACATCCATAATAATTTACATATACTTAAAAAAATGAAGTACTTACGAATCTCCAATTGGGTATATCATGAATCGGCTATCTTCTTCATCATTCGAGTGTTGCACTAAAGAAGAAGGTGGAACCGAAGGAGATGGAACTGAAGGAGATGGAACTAAAGTAGATTCAGTTCGCATTTAAGGGTCGGAGGAAGGGCCAATGTGTCCATCAGCATGTACTGGTTGAGGGTTAGATGCAAGGGCAGGGGAAGAGGAAAAGGACGGGGACGGGGACGACGAAGGGGAAGGACCTGGTCTTCTTTGTGAAGCTACACCACGACGCATGTGACCTTCACGTTTATACTAACAAGTTGGAAGGTTAGACAAATATGTTAAAAAATATAAACATGTATTAGGGACACATAATGACGTACGTCGTGAAGCTTACCATTTTATTTTTTAGAGCAAGAGATAAACTTGAGAAAATGAAACAAACTTGCTATCGCCCCTGATAAAAAGCAAGCTGTCCGGAAATGTCTACGAGCTTCTTTAGCTCGTATTTTGCCACAAATAACAGTTGTGGTAACTGTCTACAAAAACATTCAACAAGCACTTAAATATTAGCTCCTTTCTAGTGATTATTATGCAAGAAGAAAACATGAGTGAAGCAACATGATGTTGAGAAGAAAACTCATTTTCCGTGAAACGAACGTCGGAAAATCTAGGAAACGTTTTCTTGAAATTTGCTTTCCGTAAAACGAACGGAGCCTAAGAGTCGCCACAAATTATTAGTAGGTCGATTGGGAACATAAAATCCTTAGTTGTTAGAGGGAAGTCAACTAATCACCTAGGGTCAATTGATCTCCTAAGACTAAATATGTAGATCCAAGGATTCGATTAAATGTGAAGTAAGAGTTAGCAGCTCCCACATCACCCTTTTGGTACCAAATTCCTCGATTAAGTTGTGTCATGCAATATCATAGAATTTCCTAATTTACATATACATATA